GAGGGAATAGTTGCAGGAGAAGGATGTCATGCTGGGTAAGGTGGAGGGTCAGAGAAAACGAGGAAGACCTCTAATGAGATGGATTGGCCAGGTGGCATCATTGATGGACTCAAGTGTGGCAGCGGTAGTGACGTTGGCCCAGGATCGGACATTGTTTCGTTCTGCAGTGCATGGGGTCGCTATGAGTCGGTTCCGACTCGATGGCACCTGACAACAACAACAATAGTATTTTCAGGCAGATGATGCTTCAGTAGTTTTTCAAAGTGTCTAAAACAATTCATTACTTTTCCCAGATGCTAGATTCTGTTACATGATTTGCACCTGAGGTACCCTATGACCTTGCAGTTGAAAGTAGGTTGAAGTCTTTTAAAGCCTCCAGGGTGCTGGACCTACAAGATGGCGTCTTTACTCATGGGTCATGTCCTCATTATGCCATGAGAATTCACTTGTTTTGGCCCAATTAAACCTTCTTGGTGGAAATCCTCAAACAGAAAGAGATAGCCACCCAAGGATTCCTGCAAGGGGCAGAGGAAGTAACAGTGAAGTTTACAGTTACCGAAAATAAAAACAAAACTCAAAACATTGCCTTGAAACTGTGAGAAACCAAAAGTTGTACAATAAAGAGTCCTGGTGCGGTGCTGTGGGTTAATGCATTAGACTGCAAAGTTGTTTGAACCAAAAAGTCGGCAGTTCAAGCTCACCAGTCACTCCTTGGAAACTCTATACAGGGTCACTATGGGTCAGAACCGACTCGATAGCACTTAACAACAATAATATTCTTGATCTGGGTGTTCATGGGATTCAAATTACACAGAACCCTGAAGACACAACAGGGAAGGAGAGATGGAAAGAGACTCTGGTTTCTCCAGAAAACTCATGGTATTAATGAGACCAGGGAAGTAAAAGCAGCTCATGTTTGTCTCTTCTGAGCAATGCAGTCATTTCCAGGAAATGAAACTGAAAGGTGCCCTGCCACCAGATTAGTCACCCTAATGACCACTGTGTTCTTGTGGTTTAGGGAGAGGAGGGCAAGAAGCCAGGATGGGGTCCCTGAGAGGTCATGCAGTCCAAACACTAACTAGTGCAGAAATCTTCAGCAAGCAAAGGTTATGCAAGATTGCAGGTTCTGTGTAGTTTCATGGAGAATCATCTCTAACCCTTGCTGGAAGCCCCTGTGATCTCCCTCCAGAGTGAGTGCTGGCATGCTCTCTCTCTCCTCTGTCTCCCTGCTCCTATTCACTGAGCTTCTCAGAAAAAGAAAAAGCCACTGAATAACTAGAGAGACTTTGGATGGAGCCTCTAAAAGCAGCATGATTAGTTTTCAGCTCCACCCATGCATGAAAACTCGACTAGTGAGTCCCTTCCTTCCAACTCCTTGGTAGAAATATAATGCAGGTTTCAGTCCTTTTCTAGCTGTGTTCAAGAAACATCCTCTCTGTGGTCACACCCCCTTAATCAGAAGATTTTCATCCTTATAAAAAAATTTGAAAGCCATCTCAAGATTCAAAT